AACTTTAGTAATATATAGATTCATGCAAACTGATATTCATCCCAAACCATAATTTTCAAAAAAGACAACTGATAAGTAGACACCCTATAAAATTCCAAAATCTGCCATTTGAATTCTAAGTTCTTTTGTTGAAAACATTTCCCAGAAGGCTCTGTGTCCAAATGGCTGCTACCTGTGGTCACATGAACGACTGCCTCAAGGCTCAGCCCCTGCAGGCTCTTTGGTCTGGTGAACAGAGTAGCTCTAGCGGCAGCTGGGAAGCCCAAAGCAATGTTTCCACGTCACTGTAGCCTTGACCCTGCTATCTAGAAAGGTGGGAGCTGCTCTGGGACTGGCTGGAAGACGTCGTGGCTCCACTGAGCTGGGAAAAGCCACTGTTGCAAGATTCCAGGCTTGACATAGATCCCCTGGGACAGGATGAAAAAGATACATTTGTTAGGCAGCTATTTACAGATAACTATATACATCTGACAGGAGATCAGCTTACTCTCGTAATGCTTTGAAAAGCATTTTGGTTTTTGTCCCATCATTTTCAACTTGGTCTCTAAAAATCTCAGGGTTCCTCTGTGCCATGATGAAAAAAATGGGCATAGACATCTTTTTTGCTAGCTACAGCTATTACGACTTGCCTCTTACAGTCATTCTGGGAGTGGGGCACAGCTGGAACTCTCTGGGGCTGCATATACAGCCCCTGACCAGAAACGTACAACTAAAGAGCCCTCCAAATGCTGCATAGCTCAGTGAACGTAGTCAGAATAGCTGCCACAACTAACGTGAGAACTCTGGTGTGCTGGCACAAGAGTCTCACCTCCAGCTTGTCCAGCCATAGTCTTCAGTTCCTTCCTGCCCACGGCGAACTGGATTTGCTCTAGCTGTAACACATTTTACATAGGCAGAGCAACAAGAAACAGGTTTGAATGATTAGAGCGAGGAATTTGCTGCTGCTCTCACTCAACAGGATCTGGGCAAGTCATGTTGTTCTCAAGGTCAGCACTTGCCCATCTGCAAGTCTGATCTACCTAACGCTTCTTCCAGCTCCCAGTAAAATGTCTGTAAGTACTTGCAAAGTATTCAGAACACCTAATGGTTGATGAGAGAAGTACCTTTTGCATTAAAGGGGGCTAGACAAATCCTGCAGAGATTGATGTACTTGTCTATTCAAAAAGCACTCTCCAAGCCACATAACTGACATCCTTCTCAAATGCCAAACTAGTTTACAAAATAGGCCAGCTGACATTTGTAAGTTACTCCAAAAGTAACTTCTCAAGCGTTCCCAACTAAGATCAAACCTCTCAGCAGCCAAAAACCTCACCACTTCAGGAAGCTGTAAGCAGGAACTGAAGCAGCAGTTCCACTGGTGAATATACAGTCAAGGCGTACATCCAGCCAAGTTGTACCAGCTACAAAGGGAAAACCTTATTACCTGCACCACTAAGAGGAGAGTCTTTTTGCAAAAGATCACCAAGCTTGTATCAGTCTAACTTATCAATGAAACGTCAATACTGTGGACGTGATTGACATCTGGATGTTTTAAGTCAACACTCAGTCCTCTCAAATGGCTTCTCTACTGCAAGTCACATAATAAATCCTCCCAGGAGATCTCCTACCTGAAGTCCTTGGATGCAAGCACCTCATAGTAGTATATGATCTTGCACTTGTGACTGGAAACTTGCAAAGAGGCAAGGACATCATCCACCCGAGGGAGGCTAGAGCCAGAACAGGGCAGAGGGCCATGCATTTTCCACTGGAGAATGTAAAAGCCAGGCCAGCGAGTCACATGAGATCCCTGGGAAAAAAAAGACAAAGGTGCCATCAAGTGACTACCAGATGTCTTAAGAAATAGCTGAATGAGTTCACAGAAGTCAAAAGAAATTACTGAACTGAATGCTTTGGGGAACATAGGCTGCTCCATGTTATTATACATGCCTGAACCAAAGCCCTGTAATGCTAGTAAAAAGAACTCCCCAACAATACATGATTCCCCACCCCATCAGTTCCTTCTCCACTTCCCTCCATTTTGGAGTTTGCTAGGATCGTAAGATAAATACAAGGATCCAAACACATCGGACCTGGATGCTCTCTCCTTCCCGACAAACCAGCGGAGATTCCATACGACTGTAATCCACCCCAAGGACCCATGTCTTATCAATTAGCTGCATATTGTCCCCAGCAATAGAGGTACTTGGTAACATGGCTTCTTTGTGACTAGTTTCAGGAGCTCGTTTGGAGTGAAAAAGGCTGAACACCACATCTCCCTTCAGGATGTCAAAGTCCCAAGTGATCACAGATTCCCCTTCCAATATCTCTACAACTATCTAAAAAGGAAACAAAACAAGCACATTTTAAAAAGTCAGGTCTTCAGATGAGAGCCAGCATCTTCCTCCCACATACACAAAGATGTTTTTCTCTACAGTCTTTCAGTTAAAGTATTGGTCTTGATTCCTAAGGAGGATACAGACTGACTCCCAATCCCAGTCTTCTACCCCCGTGGATCTGCTTAGCCATTTTTACCCTATCTTTCCCCTGCATCAGAGTTGCTTGCAAATCATTTGCTAGTTCTAGGAAAGCCTCAATGGAACTGAAGCAAAGCATTCAGGGCCACAGCAAAGAGCAACTTAAGAGCGGCTAAGTACTCTAGAAGCCAGTTCTGTTTTGTAAGAAGTCCAAACAGGCCAAAGCAGAGTTATTCATCATTAGTGAAGCTAGTGGACTGTACTGAGATTACTAAGTGCTCCTCAAAGTGTCCTTTTGGACATTCTCTTTTCCGATTACCCAAGTCAGCTTATGTACCAACTTCCTATATCACTACCATTTACTGTCCTAGCTGCGCCACTGAGAATGGAAGCAGTACTATCACAGACAGGAAACTGATGGAGCCTTTATTTCCTCAAAAAAGGAGGAAGAAGAGACTACATTTTACAGAAGAACTGGTCGCACTAGAGATAAGAGGCACTGCCTCTTAAGTGTCCATTCTTAACTCCCACACCCCTAGCTGTTAGCTGGCCCATCTTAGCCTTCCCAAGAAAGGCACGCTATGGCTGAAACATCTAGCACTTGCATTTCTGGGAGCCGTTCATTGTTCTAGTCAGCCTTAACAAGCAGAACACATTACTGGTACCAGTTAAGCTCCTCCTTCAGCTAT